AGAATAGCTAAAATTAAAATGTTTGATCACAGTTTTCAACTATTCCATATCAAAATTTTCCTCATATGTTAATAAACTATGGTTTATTTCCCTTCCTTTTTCTCTAATAGCATCTACATTATCAGTTCCCCACTAAGCCCTTCCTTCTTTTGTATTGATCATTTTTATTTGAGATGGGGATTTCTAAATCATTCATTTTTAAGAATTTCCTGTAAGTGAGAAATGACCAGGATAGCCATCTAGGCTAAGTGATTTTGATACTTTTTTCTAAAGCAGTATCTCTATTTTCTGTAGTCACAAAATTAACTGGCTTCCTCCAATCTAGGTTGCCTTCATGATTCTTTATGAGGGCTTGCCATTTTGCATTTATGTACCTAAAGTTTCCAAAAGGACCTTCTGTTAGCATAGCCCTATTACTGAAACCTCATTAGCAGACAAATGATATGATTTTTGCACTTAAGAAGTATTCCTCACTTTTAGGAAGTAGACATTTTAGTGTGTGTGCTTTATGACACATACTCTATTATTACTGGATTTTTTTTCTCCTCATTCTCTTCCTTTAAGTATCCTAGATGATAACTGTTTGGAGCATCTGATGTTATAGGCTTTAGTTCAGAAAGCCAGAACAGTGCTGCAGGTGTTTCTGAGAACAGGATTTGCAAAAGTGGTGGTAGGTATCAGAAATCAATAGTAAATATTTACTCTCAAAAGGATGAGTCCCCATTATCAGTGAGAACTTCTGTGATCAAAGAGGGTTAGTGCAACGAGAGGGTTGGAGTTAGAAGTAGAATACGTTTGGATGAGGAGTCACACAGAGGTGGCAGATTCAAGAAAATAGAACTAACGGCATTTTTCATAAGGCTATAATAACTTTAAATTTTGTATGGAAACATAAAAGACCCCAAATAGTCAAAACAATCTAGAGAAAGAAGAACAGAGCTGGGAGAATCATACTCCCTGCCTTCAGACTATACCACAAAGCCACAGTAATCAAAACAGTATGGCACTGGCACAAAAGCAGATACATTAATCAATGGAACAGGAAAGAAAGCCCAGAAATAAACCCATGTACTTAGGATTAATTAATCTAAGACAAAGGGGGCAAGAATATACAATGGAGAAAAGATAGTCTCTTCAATAAGTGGTGCTAGGAAAACTAGACAGACACATATAAAAGAATGAAATGAAAGTATTCTCTAACACCATATGCAAAAAATAACTCAAAATGGATTAAAGACCTAAATGTAAGAGCAGATACTATAAAACTCCTTGAGGAATACATAGGCAGAACACTCTGTGACAGAAATCGTAGCAATATTTTTTTTGGATCCCTCTCCCAAAGCAAAGAAAACAAAAGAACAAATAAACAAATGGGACCTAATTAAACTTAAAAGCTTTTGCACAGCAAAGGGAACCATCAACAAAACAAAAAGAGAGTCTACTGAATGGGAGAAAATATTTGCAAATGACATGACTAATAAGGGGTTAATATTCAACATATATAAATAGCTCATACAACTCAACATCAAAAAAACAAACAATCCATTTAAAAGATGGACAGAAGAACTGAATACATGTTTTTCAAAGAGGAAATGCAGGTGGTCAAAAGGCACATAAAAAGATGCTCAACATCACTAATCATCAAAGAAATGCAAATCAAAACCACAATGTGAATATCACCTCACAGTGGTCAGAATGGTTATCATCAAAAAGAACACAAATAGAAGATTTCCTTGGCAGTCTGTGGTTAAGATTCCATACCTCCAGTTCAGGGACCTCAGCTTCCATCTTTGGTGGGGGAACTAAGATCCTACATGCCGTGAAGTGGGACATAAATAAATAAATAAATATAAAAAGAACAATCCAAAGTCACATTTTAAAAAAAGAGCAGAAATAAATGTTGGTGAGGATGTGTAGAAAAGCGAACTCTCCTAAAGTGTTGGTGGGAATGTAAACTGGTGCAGCCACTGTGGAAAGCAATACGGAGACTTCCCAAAAAACTAAAAACAGAAATACCACATGGCCCAGCAATTTCATTCCTAGGTAAATTTTGAAAAGAGCAAAAACACTAATCCCCAAAATTACATGTACCCCAACATTCTCAGCAGCATCAGTTACAATTGCCAAAGTGTGGAAGCAACCTAAGAATCCATCAACAGATGAAAGGATAAAGAAGATGTAGTATGTGTATACAATAGAATATTGCTTAGCCACAAAAGAGAAGGACATTTTTGTTACAACTGGAGAAGGTTCTATCTAGTATTTAGAGGTCAGGGATGCTCCTAGACACCTTAAAATGTGAAGGAATACTCCCTATAACAATGGGTCATTAGCCTCAAAATATTAATAGTACTGAGGTTGAGGGTTTCTTTGGTGGCTCAGTGGTAAAGAATCTGCCTGCCAATGCAGGAGACATGGGTTCAATCCCTTTTCTAGGAGGATCCCACATGCCATGGAGCAACTAAGCCCTTGTGCCGTAACTATTGATCCTGAGCTCTAGAGCCTGGCACTCGAAACTACTAGGTCCATGTGCTGCAATTATTGAAGCCCGTGTGCCTTAGAGCCTGTGTTCCACAACAAGAGGAAGCGCCAAACCACAGTGAGAAGCCTGTGCACCACAACCAGAGAGGAGCCCCCCACTCGCCACAACTAGAGAAAAGCCCGCTCAGCAGTGAGGACCCAGCACAGCCAAAAATAAATAAATAAAAATAAAATTATAAAAAAAAATTAGTCCCAGGGATGTAATATATAGAATGGGGAATATCATCAATTAAAAAAAAAAATAGTACTGAGGTTGAGAAACGTTGTTTGAGAACGTTCAGAACACAAGTAGTGCTGAGGATAATGTGGTCTTGTCTTATTCTCAATTTAATGTGAATTTCTATCATTCACTAATAAGTATAAAATTAATATAAATTAGTAATTGTAGAAGCGAGAACTTTATTCAAGAAGGCTTTGTACACTAGTATTTCTCCAGTGGTGACAAGCTTGCCATGGCCATGATTTTCAAGATGTGTGACTTGTAGAAAAGGTAGGAAAAATCCACAATGTGGTTGACCATTCCCTGGGGGCATACCCTTTCCCATTAGGTTTGCTCAAGCATAGCACACTTATATTAATATCAGCCAGTTTACTTTGAATCTGCCCGTAGAAGCCCATGCCCTTACATTTTGCTGTTGAAGCAGTGATATTGTTCACAGTAAAGGTCTTTGGGCTAAAAGCTTCTGATAAGTTTAGTGTATACCTGAATTGGTCTATTCTATCCTAGGTCTATTAATTTCCCCCTCCAGTGTTTGGAAGATGTTTTTCTTATTTCTGCTTCTAATATTGGTGAAAAAGCTGTTATTAATACATCAGTTTTCCTTGAATGATGACTTAATGGCAAACCTTTTCATCCTTGATGCTTTAAAATTTCACTATAATAGATCTCTTGAATTCCTTCCTCTTGAAACTCTAGATCTTTTGTTGCAACTCCATGTTTTAACTTTTAAAGACCATTTCTTTATTCTTTTGCCAGAGAACTTCTTAGCTTACTTCCAGATCACTTGTTTGGTTAGCTGTGTTTATTTGAATATTCAGCCCATTTGTTAACTTCAGTTTTTCCAAGATATATAGTTGGTTCTTTGTCATGATCACTTATCCTTGTTTCAAACAAGATAATTCTAAGATTAAACGTTTTAAGATTCTGGCTTAATTTCAGTGATTTGTTTTCTTACTGTAAGTACTTCTGATATGTACTGGCTTTCCACGTGTTTAAGTAGTGGCACTATTTATTGTACAAATAACAGAATACATAATCTGAGCAGGTACTGTTTTTAGATACTTTATATAATCCTTTAATCCTTTTATTTGGACATGACTAACCAAATAAGCACAGCACAGCACAATCCTTTTATTAACTTTATGAACTAAGTAATAGTAATCCCACTTTACAGATGATTAAATTGCATCAATGAGTAAGGCAAGTAAAAACTTATTCAAAGCCATTGAGTTAGTATTCAAGTCAGGACACAATCCCATAGAGCAGTGGTCTCCAATCTTCTGGCACCAGTGACCAGTTTCAAGGAAGATATTTTTCTACCAACCAGGAGTTGGGGATGGTTTCAGGATGACTCAAGTACATTTATTGCACACTTTATTTCTATTATTATATCAACTCTGCCTCAGTTCATCAGACATTAGTTCCCAGAGTTTGGGCACCTGTTATAGACCCCTCCTTTACCTAGGTGGTACTACCCACCTGAGGCCCTTGGGTGTGATCCAAGATTGCATGCTCATTCTTCGCGCCTGAAAGCAATTCCCCCAGTAGCTGCTGGCTAGCCCACAGTGGAGCGGGTAGGGCCATCCTAACACTTGTCTGTCGTGTCTTAGTTACCTGTGTCCCCGTTCTCTACGCCTGCCTCCAGCACTGGAAGGGCATGTGGGTTGTAGCTGCCTATTCACTGTATATCTTTCAAGTGAAGTCCTCTTTTCTAGACCAAGAGTTCTTGTTTAAGTTTAGCTTTGCATTTATTTTGTAAATTTAATATAATTTAAGTGGAGAAAGAAATGGCAACCCACTCCAGTATTCTTGCCTAGAGAATCCTGTGGACAGAGGAGTCTAGTGGGCAGCTGTCCATAGGGTCACATAGAGTTGGACACGACTGAGGCGACTTAGCAGCAGCAGCAGCAATATATTAAGTTGTGGGGAGGAGAATTAGCAAGATATTAGGTTTCGCTACTTAATTTCATCTGTATCCACTTGGACTAATTGAATTTGCTAGAACCTGACTCTACATCTGGGTGTTGAGGGAATTTTTTTTTTTTTCAAGTCTAATGCATCCACGGTACCTCAGGAAGCTTTCAAACTCCCATTTATGAACCTAACTGTTCTTATGCTCCAATAGCGATCTCTCCACACAGTCATAATGCAAAACGCATTTATTTGCATGTACAACAAGGAGGATTAGGATCCGAGATGAAAAGAAAAGCATACTTCTGTCAAATGGAGATCAGGATTCCTAAGTAGCTGGCTTTGGGATCTTCTGGGCAGGAGGACTTGGAGAGTTGCCGGCAGATTCTGTCTCTTGACCTGATGCTCCAGATGGTCCGGCGGCATTTTCAGGCTGTTCTTCCCTCTGGGCTGACGTTTCCAACTCTTTCTGATAGTTAAGCTGGTATTCCAGATAGCTTATGTTCCTGGTCTGTTCATCCAGGAACTTCTTCATGAAGCGTAAGAGCTACAGAAATAAAAAACAAGAAAAAATTCATTAAGGACCTTGTCTGTAGCAGGAGACAATCTAATCTCCTGCCCAAATTACAGTTCATGGGCCAGCAGTTCTAGCTGTCAGAAATACAGAATCTCGAATCTCTTCCACGCCTACTAAATCAAAATCTGTTTTAAGAAGGGACTAGATGATTTACATGCATAATGAAGTTCAAAGGCATCGATCTCTGACATTCAAGACCTCCAGATGAATACAAACATCCACTTTTTAAAGATTTATTAGAGTATAGTTGGTTTCAATGTTATCTTTTCTTAAAATTATTTATTTTAATTGGAGGATAATTACTTTGCAATATTGTGATGGTTTTTGCCATACATCAACGTGAATTTGCCACAGGTATACATGTGTCCCCCCTCCATCCTGAACCCCCCTCCCACCAAACATCCACTTTCAATGAGTGTTAAGGCATCTCATCAAAAGCACAGATTAATTTAATAAGCTACTACTCTAATGGTTTTTCACCCTATTTGAATCATAGGTTAAGTGTCAAGTAAGCTCCCAGACCTCATTCCCAAGCACTGAAATTTTAGAGTTCTGGTGTAAGGCTCAGGCATTTGATAATTTTCAGGACTCTACAGTGAGTCCAATATGCAGCAAGGTTGATAGCTTTCCTACTAGATCATTTTCTTCAACTTCAAGAGAAACTAAGAACTTCGGTGAGAAATTTTATCACTGCAATAGAGTGTTCACCATTAACCAAAGAACACTTCAGAGAAGTCTACAGAATAGGTCACCATTGACATTCACTTTTGTAGGGGTAGTCTAGGATAGCGACTCTCAAGATGGGTTTATTTAAATATTCAGGGTGCAGATTATTCCTGAAAAGTCTTCTCCATCTTGTATCGAGTTGCCTTTCTCCTTACCAGGGCCCCTGCTCCTCCCACCTCCCAGTTACTCTAAGAAATAAGTTCATATACTCCCTTCAGAGGAAATAAGCACATTAGATGATCCATTGCCTTGGGATCATTTCCTAGAAGCAAGCCATCATCTAGAAGTGAAAGGACCTCTTTGCTACTTACATTGGTTTCTCTATTCCTAGAAGCTGAGGCTTTCAGGTCTTGCAGGAGCGTGTTTAATGAATTCTCCAACTGCAGAGCAGACAGTATAGCTTGTTTACCAGTTCCCCAGTTATCTATATCAGGCCTCTGTTGGAGAGAAAGAGGGAGTCACTCTCCTAGCTGAGGCGCAGCTTAGTTATACCCTACTTCCTGGGCAGATTGAAAGGTGTGCAGAGACCAGTCGTTTCCATGCTTTGTGGCATGATGGAATCAGTGGAGCCCCTTAAATACTGGTGTCTGGCTGTCAGCTGCAGGCGTTCTGACTTAATTGGTACCGAGGAGCAGGGCTTTTAAAAGCTCTTCAGGTGACGTTAATGTTCTGCAAAGCATGGATACCCCAGCACAGTTACTGCACTCTTCCATTAGCTTTGGAATTTCTCTAGCTTTGGAGAGTAGTTCAGTTCAATTACCACCAGACATTTAGTTGTCTTTAGAGACCTGGAGTTAAAAAGAACCCCTCAGATAAGGAGGGGTATTTCCAAATGTAATAGCTTCAACTAAGGTTTAGATTGTTTCTTTAGAGTATATCAAAAAGATTAGGAGTAAATCAATTTTAGATTGTTGCTTTTTTCTGTTTCCTGGTTTTAGAACATAAATATGTATGGCTGTGTTAGTCGCTCAGACGTGTCCGACTCTTTGAGACCCCATGGACTGTAGCCCACCAGGCTTCTTTATCTATTGGATTCTCCAGGCAAGAATACTGGAGTGGGTTGCCAGTCCCTCCTCCAGGGGAATCTTCCCACCCCAGGGATCAAACCCAGGTCTCCTACATTGCAGGCAGATTCTTTACCATCTGAGCCATGGTGGGAAGCCCTTTTAAAACATAAATACCTATTCTCTATCATTTGGGTGAGTCCCTATTCGTCATGTTTGAGTTGGTAATAGTAATTATTCCTAAGAAAGAGGAAATGAGAGACAGGTATGTAGCAATAGGGCCTACCTGGTGGCTCAGCGTTAAAGACTCTGCCTGCAATGCAGGAGACCCAGGTTCAATCCCTGGATTGGGAAGACCCCCTGGAGGAGAGCATGACAACCCACTCTTTCACTCTTGCCTAGAGAATCCCATGGACAGAGGAGCCTGGCGGGCTGCAGTCCATAGGGTTGCACAACTGAGGCAACTGGGGCAGCAGCAGCATGCAGCAATTAGAAAGTACAACTCTACAAATGTAGAGTCTGTTCCAGTGGGAAAAAAAAAGTTTATTAAATACATTGAAGAGGCAGCTGTGTTAAATACCTGAGGGTGTATCTGAATTAAAGAGCCAACATAAGATACAAACCACTCTAGAAGAGAACAGCAGATCTTTTCAAACTATACAGAGGATTAGAATCACCTGGAGAGCTTGTTAAGCTCTTTAGCTCCTTGGGCCCCACCCTTAGAGAGGGTGACTCAGTTTCTTCTCAGTTTCTTAGAGTGGGCCCCATGAATTTGCATTTCTAATGAGGTCCCAGGTGATGCTGGTGCTGCTGGTCCAGAGGTCACACTTTGTATCACTCTTTTAGGAAAGAAAAACTAAGATTTAATGACTGAAATTTACTCAAAATGTTATGAAGAGGTTACAGACAAGATACATGCTTACCCTCAGTCAGCTGCTATAATCCCATGTAGGAACATGAGTAATGGAACAAGTCAGAAAACAACTAATTACTTAGTTTTCTAGACCCAGCAAAGGCTAGAGGTCATCATAGAAGTCATCATAACAAAGCTACATCGTCACCTTAATCACCGGAAGGCAGATTTTACACTTATATTTTCTTAGATATTTTATGAACTGCTTTGCATGCTCCCTCTTCACATCAGCTTGGTCTTGGAAGAATGAATGAAAAATAGGTGCTTCTGAATCTTCAATGTAATAACAGGCCTGGAGCAGGGATAAGAATGGGGAGAAACTGCAGGTGAGAGGAGTTGCTGTTTAGGGCAGGAATCTCACACAAACTCACTTTATCTCTATGGCTGTCCAAAAGAGGCCTTCTTTGTTCATTCCAGGGTTCTCAGTCCGCTCTTTGACTTCCAGAAGGCCCCAACTGCCTTCTCAAACCCAGGCTACCTCAAAGAGAAGCGACCCAGGTTTTAACATGCTGGTGCCTAGTATTTGGCCATTAGACCTCTTTGAGGGTCAGGTTTATGAACCCTATATGCTAGCACTTTAACCAGTATTTATGTTGACAACTGGCAGAAGTCCAGCATAAAGTAAGTGACATTCAAAAGTCAATCCTGGGACTTCTCTGATGGTCCAGTGGTTACAAGGCAAAGGCAACCGGTTTGATTCCTGGTCCAGGAAGATCCCACATACGGTGGGGCAACTGAGCCTGTGTGCCACAACTACTGAAGCCCAAGTGCCCTAGAGCCTGTGCTCTGCAATTGGAGAAGCCCCCGCAATGAGAAGCCCATGCACCGCACCTAGAGTAGTTCCCACTCACCATTAACTAGAGAAAGCATACACACAGCCACGAAGACCCAGTGCAGCCAATAAGTCAATAAACTTAAGAAAATGTTTAAAACCACTGAACTCTACAAAAGTCAAACTATTTCATTAACCCTACCATAGCAACACTTGCTCTAAACTAGCAGATGGGTGAAAAAATTATTTATAACAGTGTCTGATGCCTGCACAAGTTTTGGGAATACTCTGGAAAAGAATTATTCTCCCAATTATTCACCCACAGTTTGCAATCACAGCTCTAAATCACTGGGCCTCAGAGCAGCAAAATCCCAGCCACTAAATTGTTGTTCCCTCTGGTATCAAACAACAAACATGGCCACAACAAAAATGAGGAAGGCTTTGTAAGATATATTATCTGGACCAGATCTGAAACCTTCCTGATAGTGACTCCAGGACACATACTAACCATAGATAAATAAGCATCACTGACATGCAGCTCGTAAGATGCTACTTGATTGAGAGCATCCCTGCATTCTTCAGAAAGAAGGCCCTTTGCCTGGGTTGCCATCTCAGCTTTAGGAAAAACAAGGCATAAAAAGTGCTACCCGCCAAGGTAAGAGACTTCTTAAATACTAACAGGCTTAAATATATATATATGTAGCCAGCCCACTTCTATTCAGCTGAAAACAAGATGATATGCTATTCAGCTGAGATTAACAGCTACTAACCTATCAATGAGGACGTTGTTTTGCTTGAAAGAACCAATCTGATAGAGAAAAAGGTGGGAAAAGCTAAGTCCTCCTAGCTATCCCAGCCAGTGTTTTGTATTTGCCCTCATGTTCTCTGACTATGATTTGAGAAGGCTGATTTAAACACTTCCTGAATGGGGAAGCATTAACAGAATAGACTCATTACCTTTAACTGTTTCCTTTTTTTCAAAAAAAGGCATCATGCTTGGTCTTATGGAGAATCTAAGAAAACTGACTAAAATACACTTTTGACCTATAAGGGACATATTCCCTTCTCACAAGACCTCAACATACACAATTTTAAACCAGGGTATGATGGGAGTTCTGACTTGTCAGAGTTTCCCAGGTGGCTCAAGTGGTAAAGAATCCACTTGCCAACTCAGGTGATGCAAGAGACGCAGGTTCGATCCCTAGGTTGGGAAGATCCCCTGGAGGAGGAAATGGCAACCCATTCCAGCATTCTTGCCTGGAAAATTCCACGGACAGAGAACCTTGTGAGCTACAATCCACGGGGTTGCAAAGAGTCAGACACGGCTGAACACACACAAGCTTCTGGATTGTTAAAGGTATATTTATGGGAGGGGATTACAGCCGATTACATTGATAAACTGGCATCTGAAATTGGCCGTGGAGTGTGGGTAAGAATGTAGAGAGAGAACTGGAAGAGGGTATTTCGCCTGGAGGAAGGGCACAGACAGGCTGTAGGGTCAAGGTATCAGGCTGGTTTCTCCAAGCGACAGTGACTGTTCCATGTGGGAACCTTTTGGTTCTTTCTCCACTAGGAAATAATAGGTGCCAAATCAATATTTGTTACAAAAAAAATTATTTTACATGTATAAGATCTCCCATAGTGTGGTAGATCCTTAGTTTGAGCCTAAGTCACGCCTTGTGGCAATGAAATAGAAGTGACAGGTCACCACAAGTCTCTCTCGGTGAGGCAGTGAGGCACGAGGGGCTCCTGAGGGAGAGTGCATCCTAAGAGAAGGGGCCACCTAGCCTACGTGTGGCCCAGTCATAAAGACAAGGTCTTCAAAGAGAAGAAACCATGATAAAAGGGCCTATTATTTGCTACTTTTGTTTTCTGACCCAACACTGCCCTTGTCCCAAATGAATTCTTGTTGTAGCCTCAGAACGTGTCTTGAGTAGGTGTTCCTCAGACCATCACTTGTATATCATTCACCTGAGACTCTTCTTAAAAGGCAGATTCTGGTACCCAGCGCCTGAGAGTCTGCATTTCTAACAATTCTGCCCAATGATGCTGGTCCATGGACCACATTTTGAGTAGAAAGTATTCCAAGACATGGGACATGCTGGGGAACCTCCAATAGGAGAGGAGAAGGGGACATTCTATGCTTCCTATGTTTAAAAAAATTTATTTATATTATTTAAAAAAATTATTTTTAATTGACTGATGATTGCTTTATAATACTGGTTTGGTTTCTGTCACACATCAACATAAATAGGTCTGAACTGAGGCACTGGGGATCTTCATTGTGGCACTCAGGGCTTAGTCACCCTGCAGCATGCAGGATCTTAGTTCCCTGACCTGGGACCGAACCCATGTCCCCTGCATTGGAAGGCAGATTCTCGACCACCAGGGGAGGGCAGTCTATGCTTCTGCACACACTACAGCACTGTTTTGGCATTTCCAGGATGTCTGTGGCAGCATCCTGGGGAAGGCAGTGTCACCAGGAAACTCAGCAACATCTAGCCCATGATGGTTAGAGCTGAGATGAGGAAAGAAAACTGGTGACTAGACAGGTAACTGGTTTTACTTATAGCACAAGTGAAACATTATCTGAAGTCCCATAAGAATTTGGGGGACATTTTCAGGAGATTAGGGTCCTATGTGAGAAGTGAGGACAGTTCAGTTCAGTTCAGTCGCACAGTCGTGTCCAACTCTTTGAGACCCCATAGACTGCAGCATGCCAGGCCTCCCTGTCCATCACCAACTCCTGGAGCTTACTCAAACTCATGCCCATCGAGTTGGTGATGCCATCCAACCATCTCATCCTCTGTTGTCCCCTTCTCCTCCCTTCAATCTTTCCCAGCATCAGGGTCTTTTCAAAAGAGTCAGTTCTTCAAATCAAGTGGCCAAGTATTGGAGTTGAAGCTTCAGCATCAGTCCTTCCAATGAATATTCAGGACTGATTTCCTTTAGGATGGACTGGTTGGATCTCTTTGCAGTCCAAGGGACTCTCAAGAGTCTTCTCCAACACCATAGTTCAAAAGCATTAATTTTTCAGCGCTCAGCTTTCTTTATAGTCCAGCTCTCACATCCATACATGACTACTGGAAAAACCATAGCTTTGACTAGACAGAAATTTTTTGGCAAAGTGATGTCTCTGCTTTTTAATATGCTGTCCAGGTTGGTCATAGCTTTTCTTCCAAGGAGCAAGTGTCTTTTAATTTCATGGCTGCAACCACCATCTGCAGTGATTTGGGAGCCCCCCAAAATAAAGTCTGTCACTGTTCCCACTGTTTCCCCATCTATTTGCCATGAAGTGATGGGACTAGATGCCATGATTTTAGTTTTCTGAATATTGAGTTTTAAGCCACCTTTTTCACTCTCCTCTTCCACATTCATCAAGAGGCTCTTAAATTCTTAACTTTCTGCCATAAGGGTGGTGTCATCTGCATATCTGAGGTTATTGATATTTCTCCCGGCAATCTTGATTCCAGCTTGTGCTTCTTCCAGCCCAGCGTTTCTCATGATGTACTCTGCATAGAAGTTAAATAAGCAGGGTGACAATATACATCTTTGACGTACTCCTTTCCCTATTTGGAACCAGTCTGTTGTTCCATGTCCAGTTCTAACTGTTGCTTCCTGACCTGCATACATATTTCTCAGGAGGCAGGTCAGGTGGTCTGGTATTCCCATCTCTTTAAGAATTTTCCACAATTTGTTGTGATCCACACAGTTAAGGTTTTGGCATAGTCAATAAAGCAGAAGTAGATGTTTTTCTGGAACTCTCTTGCTTTTTCGATGATACAATGGATGTTGGCAATATGATCTCTGGTTCCTCTGCCTTTTTAAAATCCAGCTTGAACATTTGGAAGTTCATAGTTCACGTACTGTTGAAGCCTGGCTTGGAGAATTTTGAGCATTACTCTGTTAGCATGTGAGATGAGTGCAACTGTATGCTAGTTTGAGCTTTCTTTGGCGTTGCCATTCTTTGAGACTGGAATGAAAACTGATCTTTTCCAGTCCTGTGGCCACTGCTGAGTTTTCCAAATTTGCTGGCATATTGAGTGCAGCACTTTCACAGCATCATCTTTTAGGATTTGAAATAGTTCAACTGGAATTCCATCACCTCCACTAGCTTTGTTCGTAGTGATGCTTCCTAAGTCCCACTTGACTTCACATTCCAGGATGTCTGGCTCTAGGTGAGTGATCACACCATCATGGTTATCTGGGTCGTGATCTTTTTTATATAGTTCTTCTGTGTATTCTTGCCACCTCTTCTTAATATCTTCTGCTACTGTTAGGTCCATATCATTTCTGTCCTTTATTGTGCCCATCTTCGCATGAAATGTTCCCTTGGTATCTCTAATTTTCTTGAAGAGATCTCTAGTCTTTCCTATTCTATTGTTTTCCTCTATTTCTTTGCATTGATCTCTGAGGAAGGCTTTCTTATATCTCCTTGCTATGCTTTGGAACTCTGCATTCAAATGGGTATATCTTTCCTTTCTCCTTTGCTTTTCACTTCTCTTCCTTTCACAGCTATTTGTGAGGCCTCCTCAGACAGCCATTTTGCTTTTTTGCATTTCTTTTTCTTGGGGATGGCCCTGATCCCTGCCTCCTGTACAATGTCATGAACCTCTGTTCATGACAAGTGTCAATAAAATCTGGATTATTACTGTTAATATGACTCCATCTACAAAGTGGTAAATCTGGAAGATAATGGTTTTACTTAGTGGGAGATGATAATGAGAGTTTGAATATTTCAGGATAATCTATAAGATATCTTCATGTAAATATTCCATGATTCTACCTTTCCATCTGGGCCAAAAACACAGAACTGTGTACATGTGAAGAAAATGTTCCTATTCCTGTGGGTTAAATATTATTAAGAGAGATTTCTTTCTCAATCCCAAACTCCCAATGTATCCCTCACTGCACCTCATTCTCCCTCTGGTAACCATACATTTGTTTTCTAAGTCTGTGAGCCTACTTCTGTTTTGTAAATACAAGTTCATTTGTATTATTTTGTTTAGATTCTGCATAAAAGTGGTATCATATGATGTTTGTCTTTCTCTGACTTACTTCACTTAGTATGATAATTTCTAAGTCCATTCGTGTTGCTGCAAATAGCGTTATTTCATTCTTTTTAATGGCTGAGTAATATTCCATTATATATATACAACACATAGTATTTATCCATTCTTCTATTGATGAACATTTAGGTTGCTTACATGTGTTGGCTGTTGTAAACAGTGCTGCAACAAACATTGGTGTGACACACTACTATATTTATTTTTTTATTTTATTTTTTTTTACACTACTATATTTAAAATAGACAACCAGCAGGGACCCACTGTATAGCACAGGGAACTCTACTCAATATTCTATAATAACCTAAATGGGAAAAGAATTTGAAAAAAGAATAAACACATGTATAGCTGGTAAAGAATCCGCCTGCAATGCAGGAGACCCTGGTTTGATTCCTGGATCAGGAAGATCCCCTGGAGAAGGGATAGACTACCCACTCCAATATTCTTGGGCTTCCCTGGTGCCTCCGCTGGTAAAGAATCTCCCTGCAATGCAGGAGAATTAGGTTCAATCCCTGGTTTAGGACGATCCCTGGAGTAGGGAAAG